AACTGGTGGTGATGATGAATCCCTGAGCCGGAGTCTGACTAAAATATCAGATGACATGTGGGTCTTGACTACTAAGCGATGCTGAGTAGAACTACTTAGTAGGCTGTCACCTGATTGACAACCGCGTCCTAGAACCTTCTAGCTGGTTCTCTACTATTCCATGGATACTCCAGCATGCATCTAATCTATATCTAATCACTATCTGATAAGATAAGATAGGCATGTGCTTATTCTGGAATATTATTTGGAAAACTGTGACAGAACCCCTCTGATGTTCACCCTGATACCAAGGATTATGAATCCTTCATACAGGATTACAATGCTGATGCTACAGCAACTCAGTTAATCAAGGCATGGAAACACCAGGCCCCGGTGTATCCCCCACCCACATTTATTGCAGACACACAGCTAGCTGACTATCTCGTTATTGAGCATGACGGCCCAACTGACACAGGATCATTCCGCGCCGAATCACCCCTTCGTTTGCCCACGAGCGAGGGGGTCGTTTCGGGGTGATTACCGCCCCGCATAAAATTTTATTTACACTCTGCATGTACCCTATGGTATGGAGTATAAACCCTGGAATTAAAATTTTAAAAAAAGATGACGTAGGCGGCGCGCTTCGCGCGAGACAGTCGAGGCGGTCATTGGGCGGCCGCACTCCGCGCAAAATGGTGAGGCAATCGTGTCAAAGATCCACCATTCCACCAGCTGCAATCAAAGAGGAGCTAGTATACAGAGTGGAGTTAGAAGTAGTTGGTAACATCAACAACACAGGATTGACTAGAGTAATCTTCAAGAGCGCATTCAAACATTTGCGAGATGATGGCAGCAAATGAGTAATAGCTAGGTCATTTCTAGGTCAGGCAATACAACCTTTGCCAAGATGACTGGAAGAAAGTTCTGGGCATACCATGGGTTTTAAGGATAATGGCGTCACTAAATAGTTACAACACATTTCTGGTGCCGCATACATTGAGAGTTCAAGAAGAATGTTACTCACAGCTGCAGGCGAATGTGACTAATAGTCTACCCCGAAAAGATCAAGGTTTCTGCTCTCACAATAGTATGCTTGGATGTGAGTGTCAATAAATTTCGTAGAGGGAGATTGGAGCTAGAGCATAGCCAACGTCAACAAGATTACAGCCAACAATCAAGCCTAACATGCATGTAGAGAGAAATGGGCTAGTTACAGAAAACGTCACAGTCGAATGATGTAGTCACTGCAGATATTCGTCAACTCTGCGGGTCTCTGCTTGCGAACAAGCTAGTGACGTACCAGACTCCGAAAGTCTCTCTCCCTCCCTCACCATATGAATTTTGGATTGCAGAACCAATGAGACAGCTGAACTGAATTGCAGTGCTCACATCAGAGTAGTCATGTCCTGAAAACCGTAAAGACCAGTCCTGTGAGATAAGCTACAATAACAAAACATAAATATCAGGTACCACCCATGGGACGCGCCCGGTCCAAGTTACTTGCAATATACATTTGTTGGGGCGGTAACAGATGGCTTGCGCCTCGGAATGCTATGTTGAGTCAACCATTGAAAAATATTCAAAATGTAGGTCGGGCTTGATTAAGAGAGCGGACTACGTCCGGCGATGCCACTCGGGGATGGGCGAAAGTCAGAGTCACATTCGTTCCTTTGTACTATACACAGGACGCGAGAATTTGGTACCAACTTGTTTGTCGAATGCTACATATGAACAAGAAAGAGGAGTATGTGTAAGGCTGGATGTTCAAGCTTCAAAAAGCGAAACTGAGTCGAGATAGAACCGTGGATAAGGCCGACGGCTTGGGATCCTAATAGTCACAAACAAATAAAGTAGCTTGACGAAGTTGTAGCCGCACTTACTTACTGACGTTCATACGCACGGACATAATGAGCTCGGAGGCCACTCAAACGCAAACCATCGTCGCTAAAAAGACAAAGAAGCTCAAACCCGCTCGAAAACAAGTGAAGCCCGGTGACGTTGAAAAGAAGGAAGCGCCTCAAACCGGGAAAGAGTATAGTGAGTCCTTGGTAATGAAGTGCTTCGACATCTGACTTGCAAATCAAACACATAGACATCTGGTACAACAAATGGGCCGGAGGTGATCGAGAGGATAGCTATTCAAAGTCAGTTCATTGTTCCCTCACTCTATGGCACACACTCTGACATCCACAAAGCAAAGTCAAGTCCCAGACACGCTGCAACATCAAGAAAGATGCTGGACTTACACGCGCAAACACGACCGGCGTGAAATATTGCTGCCTGTTCTTTGCACGTGGATGCTGTCCGTATGGTTGGGAATGCGAGTATCTTCACGTCCTACCAGATGCATCTATCGCGCTACCTGATACATCCAAGGACTGCTTTGCGCGGGATAAGTTCGCGGACTACCGCGATGACATGGGTGGTGTGGGTAGCTTTCAGCGCCAGAACCGTACTCTATACATTGGACGTATCAAAGAAACTGGTACTGGCGTTGAGACAGAGGAGGTTGTTCGGAGACATTTTAAGGAGTGGGGTGAGATCGAGAAGAGTGCGTGGTTTTCTTTTTGCGTCTACATGACATTCACTTACTTCGTTCATGATGTCGTAGTCCGCGTGTTGCAATATCGGAGCGTGGCATTCGTGACATACGTCTCCGAGTTTAACGCACAGTTTGCTAAGGAGGCGATGGCATGCCAGTCGCTCGATAATGACGAGATCCTCAATGTCCGCTGGGCAACCGAGGACCCTAATCCAGTATCAAAAGTGCAGGAGAAACGGCGACTCGAGGAGATTGGACGCGACGCCATACAGTCTCGCATAGACCCACGGATCGTTGATGCAATGCGGGCCATGCGTGCGCTCGAGGATGGTGACATGTTGGATGAGGATGGTAACGTAATTGATGAAGATGCTCCGGAGGCCAAGAGACGGAAATTGGAGATTGAGGGTGCTCCGGAGGATTCCATGGAAGATACAAACCAGGAACAAGAGCAGGGACAGGAGGAAGTACAGCCACCACAGCCAATCGGTCTTCTGAGTGCAGACACATTGGAAGGTCTCAAATATTTTGCCGAGATTCGGAAGAGAAATGGGTTTACAAGCACTCCTGTTCGCAGCGCACCGCCACCTAAACCTCCATCGGAGGGTCTCGGCCTTGCGGATTATGGCAGCGACGAAGAGTAGATTGTGTATGATGTACAATGGTGGTTACATATCGACGCATACAGTCCATGATATACATAGTATCAGCAGAATACATGAGACACCTCAGGCCTCAGGCTTGGTCGTCACGACTCGTACCACCTTCCGAATCCCTTGATGACTCTTCATCCTGCAGGTTGAGATTTTTGATTCTATCTTCTTCGGCTGCAAGGTCTTCATCCTCCTTCGCCTTCCGATACTTCGCTAAGTCCCATTCTTCTTCATCATCCGGGTCTTCGTCCTCAAACCACTCTGGATTGTACGTGAACTGGAAAAAATAGCATCAGTGAACATGGCTATGAGTGCGCAAAGATAGCTGGATCACTCACCAGGTCCCTTCCGCTCATACCAGAATTCTTGCCTGCTGCGTGTTGTGCATCTTTGGCCTTCCGCAGTGCCTCCTCTTCCCCTTGCTTCTTATCCATCCGTGTCTGTTTCCACTTAGCAAATGACTCAGGCGTAACCGGCGTCAAGTTGGAGCCCAATTTATGGCGCTGAAAGCGCACTGTTCAGCCATTAGAATCAACTGAGTCGTCACGTCTCACCTCAACTTCCAAGAATTCCTCCAGACTGATTACATTTGCTTTCTCAGCATCAGCCGCAGCCTTCTTTTGTGACTTGAGCATGAATCCTGGGGGTAATGCATGTCTATATTGACATGACTCGCCCCCGTTCGGACATTCCCAAAACCATCCAAATCTGTGCATCGAGTCTCAGCGCAACGTTCATAGGGCTTTCGTATAACTACATACTTCTCGGTCTCGATTGCTTGGATGAAGTATTTGCAGACGATCTGTCCGTAACGTTAATGAGAGTATAAATCAGAGGTGCATCGTCACTCACGTCGGTTGTGGTCCGCGGATTGCCATGCTTTGACAGAACGACACTTCTCAATTTCTCTTCGTCCCATTTATCCATAGTGTCTACAAAGAATACATGATTAGTATTTATTGTAGCTCGTGAAACAGTAGCTCACCTGTCATCTTATCCTCCCGGTTATCCTCATACAGATTCTTCTTCTCAACTTTACGTCCCACATTCATATCATGACTGAATTTACATTTATTACCCTTATCGCAATGTCCTGCCTTGTAAAAGGCACACAAAATCGTCTTCGGGTCGACGCCGAATGGTACCTTCTGGGCTTGGACAGGCTTAAAGAGCGCCGCCTCCTCCTTTTTCCTTTTCTCTTCTTCCAACTTGGCTTTCTCGCGCAGCGCCTTTTCCTTCTCCTTCTCAAGTACCGCACGAGATTTTCCCGCTTGTTGCTGTTGCTTCTCTATGGTGGCAATTTGCTTTTGCACCTTCGCGGATTTGTTTTTCTGAAGGCATATCACGTATGAGTAAAGTGTCACTTTGTTAATGTGTCAGACTACATTTTTCATCCCGAAGGTCTATGAACCCCTCGTCAACGACTGCGTCAGCTCCTCATCTTCATCTGACCAAAATTACTACGGAATACCTTGTCATCCTTGACTTTAGAACTCGAGCTAGGGGCCTGCTTCTTTGGGGGCATGTTGGTAAAACTAAGCGATGAATGGTTGTTCGATGGATTGGATGTGGACTGCAAGCTGTGAGGAGTAGTTTGAAGTAACTAAATTTGACCAAAACAGACCTCTGCGAGGCTCTGCCGCCAGTCGGCGAGTCGATCGCTGTCGATCGTACTGTTGTGACAAGTGACAAGTGTGACATTCATCATATAAAAGCATTATATCAATCTGCCGACTTATTGGAAGAATTTAAGGTCGGACTGGTAGACTTCCCAAGTATACGATCTGATGCAAGCCAGAAAATTCCAATTTATTGAAAGCGTACGCGGAGCAAGCTGCAGGACCTTCAATGTCGCTTCTTACCAACGATGGCCTCCTTTGCACTTTTCGCTGCAAGTATGCTGTTTACCATTTTTACTTTTTTCCTCTCACCACCCATCGCGGAGCGTTTCTTCTTCAGCTCATCCTTTGGCATGGTCGACAATGAAGCGGTCCCAGTAGTGGTGGTAGTGGGGGTGACGGTAGGAGGAGGTGGAGATGTGGGAGGCGGGTCTTGCACTACTGTGTCGGTTTTTGACTTCTTCGAGCCGCGCGACTCTGAAGACTTGCCACGGTGTTGGGAAGATTTTTCCCTTTTCTTCCTCTGAGGCATGTCCATATTCTCCTCGGCGGCGCGCTTTTTCCCTTTCGTCGGTTCCGTAACCTCAGCCGTCGAAAGTGCTTCCATCACGGCGTGTTTTCCCTTCGGCTTTTCCGCATCATCGCCATCTGTGCCAGTATCTTCCTCACTTCCAGCCTTACCACTCTCCTCATCCGACGACGCACCAGCCGTCAGCCCATCCCATCGCCCACCTTCTCCTCCGCCGAGGTCACAGCTCCAAATCGGCAAACTTACAGAGGAGTTGGTCTTTATGTGGAGACTCTGCATATTGTCCCAGCCTCCTTGTATCTTTTTGACTACGACAGGCAACGCCGTCTTCAGGTTGTCAATAATCTGAGATGGACTTTGAGACAAAATGCCAACTTTGATTGAACTGAAACTCTTCGTCAAGCACGATATTAGACATGAGAGACTTCGAAAATACGTACACACACGTCCCCTGATTTCGATGGAAGTAAGTAGATGAAATAGCGCGCTCGAGTTCACCCTTGAGATCCTTCTTAGTGAGACAAACGGGAATAGGTTGCCTAAGATATCATGAAGAGGGTGTTCATAGCAATAAGGTACGCATGTCCGCACTTACTTTTTGGCTTGGAAAAATTTGCTTCCCAGTAGACCCGGGAGTAGCGGTACGACACGCTCATCGGCCAGGAATAGATCATTCTCTTTCAGAAGCAACCTCCTCGCCTCGAACGGTTTAAATTTGCCTTTGAGCTTCGTAATCCCGACAACCCTTGAGATAAAGCGGATTTGATGGGACTCAAGCAGGTCCTTGTATTCTCGCTGCGGGTCCTTAGTGATGAGGCACACAGAGGATACGCGAGGGTCAACAAGAGGATGTACGATGGGACTGGCACAAATGAGCGTATCAACAATTCGGAATCAAAAACAACTCACATCCTCGCTGGTTTCATGTTCTTCCCCGGGTGCATCTGCTTCGTAGTAATTACAAGCCAGATATTTTGTTCTTTCCCGGGCAGTAGATGTTGTTCAGCCTTCTTCTCCTGCTCCTTGATGGCATGGGTGAGTAGAGCGTTTAAGGCGCGCTTGCTTTGTTTTTCGGAGACATGACTATCGATCAAGACCTTCTTAGGCATGTCGAAGCAAACAGGTTAGAGCTAAGTAAATTGCCGTGAGCGGCGAAGACGAGACGTCGAGATTAAGTCTCAGTGCAGGCGAAAGACGAGATCACGTGCACCGATCACACTCTTATTGGCAATGGAAAAAAGACCGAGGATGATTCAAGAATTCAAAGCTCGCCGACTCGGACTCGGAACTCTCGTCCGGTTGTTATTCAAGTCTAAGGCCTAGGTAGTAGCTAGTATGTACTGGGTTCGTACGCATGAATCAGAAACTGCATGTTGCGCAGCTTGAGATTAGTCTCTTGTGAGTAGAGTAACCTGATACTTCATTGAGTCTTCGCTCTTACAGGCTTCGGATATCCGTATCTGACCGCAAATGCGTGACAAGAGTGTGGTTCATGTTAGTGCGACATGGTAGCTCAATGGGTATTTTGTGATCGATAACACAGAGATGCCTGGATGATGATGGTGAGAAGCGTATGTACAACATGATATGCTATGGTGTCTGTAATGCGATAGTTGCGTGATTTGTCTGGATAACATATGGCGCATATAAACGTATGATTGGGATAGAGATCGTATGGTACAAAAGAAGAAAACATACTGACGATCACCGTCATGGATCAAATGGATAATCGCCGTGCTCACAAACCTCTCGGGATGGCCCTTGCATCCCTCGCTCGACCGACAGAGCTGGATGACATTGCGTCCTTACCCTTGAGCCCGGCCGTGGTGGCAGGGGCAAGCAATCGCGAAGCGGGTCGAGGAAGGGCGGAAGGGACCCCCGCAACACGTCCGACGCTCCCGTATTGCGACGGCGGTCTCAAACCAGTTGTCCTTCCGATACTTCTACCAGCCCTCGATAAAGCAGTAGTGGAAACACAGCTCGAGGTAGCTGAAGCTCCAGTCGTGGTACCGACAACTTCCATGGAGGTCTTCTCAGGCTTGGGGATAGCTGCCATGCGTGACTTCTGAGTGGATGAAATCTTAGCGCTTTGTTGGAGATTCGGCCTCTGGATGCCCGCGGCCGCGAATCGTCCTAAAGTGGCGTGTCGCCCTGTATCGGGTTTCACAGAGGCAGGGACGATTTTTGATCGAGTGAAGAGACGACGCTGGCCAAGTGAGGGCTCAGAGGGTGTGATCACACCTGAACCCGTCAGTTCCGGTACTACTGGCGGACGTTGAACGCCTCGAATTGTCGTTTTTCGAGTAGGCACTGGGTCACCCACAGCCGGAGAAATCAAGTCGATGGCAGTTTGAGTTTGTTCGGCTTCCGACTTCTGGACAGCTGCTTGCTCGAGTGCAACGTTCTGGCCAAACTTGCGGTTGAGTTGCGGCTGGCTCATCGGCAAATGAGCGGGAGATATTGTATGTACGCTTTTCATGCTAGTACTAAGGCTTGAGCTTGAACTAGAGGCTGACGATCCGGCGCTAGCGGACGAGTCCGTGTGGCCATGCATCTTCCATGTTTTCTTCGCGATACGAAGCGCTGGAATGGTGACAGCACGAGAGGCTAGAGGAGATATGGATGCTCTCCTTTCGAGGAAGACCGGAGCTTGCGGGGAGTCGATTATAGCCTCAGGAGGCGAGAACACAGACATTATCGAAGATCTACGTTCGAGAGCTGAGTAATGGCGCGTCTGATCAGATTCGTCTACCCAGGGCCTTAACAACACACTTACTTTGCTCAATAGCATCGGATAATTCATCTGAAACGGCAGGCTGCGGTGACGTCCACAGCTGGTCATCTAGTAATTGGAATAAGAATCGTGCCTGGGCTCAAGCGGCAAAAATGTACCTTCAGTGAATGCACTCGTGGTAGACGAAGCAACGGCAAATCGCGGTGACGCGACATACTCCATACCAGAGACCGACAAATCTACTTCAAGTGAATCAACTAACAGACGAAACATGTAAACACTAACGTACCTAGTGGAACAACAGCGGGGCTTCCAGATACATCACAGTCCCGACCAACTTGCATGTTCTCAGCTTGTTCGCATTCCAATAGATGAGTCTCCATTTGCCTTTCCTCTTCGTCAAGATCAAAATCACTGTCTGGATCGGCCTGCCCTCCCATCCAGAATGAATCCGCGCCATGCCCAAGGAATGAGATCTTATCATTGAGCAAGTCAAATGACATTTCAGCAGATTGCATATGCATGCTGAAAGATGCATGAAGGTCAACGGAGGTACGACGAGGGTCATTAGGAGATATTGTGTTTGAAGACGGTGGCCGAAGTGTAGGCGGTACAGCAGCGGATGAGGATGCGAAGAGACGGTCGCTAGGCGAGTCAGAGGTTGGTGGTAAATCGGATTCTGTCAAGGAATCCGACTCTGATGGGCTAGGCGAGCTGACAGTGATATGCGGGAACGAGAGTGGAATAGAAATTGTATCCTCGGTATCTTCAGTAACAGGATCCGCTGACCCGTCTTGTTCTGGTATCGGTGCTGAGACCGCAGCGCGAGCGCTAAATATACGAGACGGCGACAGCGTCATTGACGAGAGATTAATAGAGTTGATCACCTCGGCAAGCGGTGCGCCAGCGGGGGCTGCAGTGACGGTATGAGGTGGGGAAGAATCTTGATCCGCAAGGACAACAGCTTCCACTTGGGACTCGCACATTTTAAATGGGTCGTCCAGTTGTATGTCGGCGAGTGGAACCCTTCTGGACGAGCTGTCCGAGTTCAAGTTGATATCGCCGCAATCTGGATCATCACCAGACAACTCCCCTCTCTTCGACTCCTGTTCTGAGCTGACATTAGATTCCACATTAGCACTCTCATCTACCGTCGTGTCGCCAAAATCGATTAATGGCCCTTTAGAAGCCTCCTTGACGACGTCATTCCGGGTCGTATAGATGCGATTGAAAAAAACAGTTATCTCCCCTGGCGGAATGTCGTTCTCCTTGTCTGAACTGCCAGAGTCTGGCGATGGTTCTCTGCGTGGCGTGGAAGGTGATCTGAGCGGGTCAAATAGATATAGGACGCTATTGCGCGGTTTGTAGTTCATATCGACGCTTTAAATGCTAGAGAGAGGAATCGTCACAAGAAGTCGTAGCTGGCCGTAAAGGACGCTGAACGTCTGTAGAGTCGAGCGGGCAAGGGCCGTGTTCGACTTTTGTGGCCCAGCAAAGTCAGGTGACCGTGACGCGCGGCTCTCGCGAGATCAAACCTGTACCTAGATTGATTCGCTATGCGCTCGTACAATTGGACGACTCAGTGTCGCACCAACCTTACAAGGCGAAGGGGAGAAATTGAGACATGCGATTCCAATGTGACTACGTAATGGAGGTGAAGATAGTGGATGCGGAGGACAAGCTTGAGATATTTGCGATTGTTTGCGCATCGGCGCGATCACGTGTGTAAGGCCAGGGCAGCGTGTTTGTCTTACGTAAACAAAGGGCCTAGTTGCATATACGGGTCGCGCTGGCGAGCCACCATCCACAGCTTTCCGAATCTCCTGCTTATGCCTCAAAGAATATGAACGTGGTACGCGTCTCCAGCTCAGAGTGTGCTTAATATCTAATGCTCTAATTATCACAGTCAACATACGGACGCAGTCGCCAGTCCATCGCCGACCTGGAGCAAGAATTAAATGATATCTTTCAGAGCCATCCTGAATCCCATCTCAGCGCAGAAGACGAGCCCGTTATTCCGGGAAATGCACTCGTCGATGTCCTTCGAACATTCTCACGAAATCATGATGCCGTCGAGCTCATGACGCGTGAAGAGGAGGACCAGTTAATAAGTCTTCTCGAAACCAATCCTGGCTTGGCCGTAACTCCACAAGTTCTACTACAGTTCATTGCTATGCGCACAACATTTAGTCCCCACCATAGCCCAGAAGGTTCTCCTCCTGCTGACGCTAGCGATTTCGAGGAGCGCGGCCGAATAGATGGCCGAGAATACGATGAAGGGCACTCGCGTTCATCTAGCAGGGACTCGACGGGAACTTCTATCTACAGACCTTCTTCTCGAGGACCTCCAAAGACACCCACTAATAGGGAATCACCTTTTGACACGTCTCGAAGGCAACGATCAACACCTCTGGGCAATATTGCGCCATCCAGTTGGACGCGTCGGCCACCACCGTCTCGACGGAAGAGTGATGCTGGCTCTCATAGCCGTGCACTGAGCGACTCAGAAGTAAGCAAAACTCAAACCCGTTGGGATGGTTTGTAACTAATTCCTCCTACATCAGTCTACAAGTCCTCCTGCCGCATATGGTCGCACCTCAGGACGATCAAGAGCGCCATCTAATCCTGTCAGTCCTACCACCTTGTCACCTGTAGGGTCACCACCATTTGCTGCTACCATCTCCCGACCACATTCGCGTGCTCAGTCCCAGCCACAATCGCACTTCTCCTCACTGGACGGGGCTATGGACGGATATCATAGGCGATCCTCCCCAGAACGAGACTTCGACTATCGTACCAACGGTGGCCTCCTATCTCCTCCCCAATCTGATCGTTCTGAGTCTTCTTTCGATGAGGACGACCGATTCGGTTCTCAAATATCTTCTTTGCCTATGCCTCGTGTATCAAGTGATGATGATTCAGAAGATGATGACGACGACTCCATGCTAGGGCTCGTAATGGACCGTTCAGCTGCGTCATCAACAGTTTCGCTTGATTTGCAGGAGCGGCTAGAAGCGTTGCAACGAATGAATACCGATCTTGGGCGCAAATTGATCGAGGCAGAAAAGACTTTGCAGTATAAGCTTGCAGAGCATGAGATGGAGCTCGAGGAGATGCAGAGCCGATTAGAAGAAGTTAAGAGTGAGCTGAGTGCAACGAAGCGCGAGGAGAAAGAGCTTCGGTCGAAAGAGGTAATGGGGTCTTGATGACTTGTGAGTTACTATTGATCATCTCGTTTATGCAGCATACGAACCAGTCGCAAATTTCGGCCCTGGAGTCCGAGATCTTCAAGCTGCAGAAGAGTTTGGATGTCGCAAGAGCCTCTTACCAAAGTCTCCAGAAGCAGTATCAAGAGCAGTGTGGTACGTGTTTGACTTCACCTCGAAACTTTGTCCTTCATGGCTCTTTTGGGTGTAGCCGAGTCGGAACGATATCGTAACACACTCCGCCGAAGGGACCAGGAGGTCAAAGATTTTCAAGATGCTGCTGCTCTACAAGCTATTGAAACCAGCAAGTGGGTCCGTGAGCAAGCCAACTATGAAGAACGCATTGCATTCTTCGAGGGCGAGCTTGCCGTTGCCCAACAAGCACAAGTGCAGCTGGAAGAGCAAAAGCAGGAAAACATGATGCTGAAAGAGACCATTGATCGCATGCGATTCGACATGGATGAGATGCGCAATGGTGCTGCAAGCAACCATCTATTGCAAGGTGGTTCTGGTAGCTCTAGTGCCCGGAATAGCGTCAGCAAGAGCCTAGGCGCGGAGCTGTTGAGCAAGATGAAGGACGGCAGGTGGGGTCTGGAAGACGACGAAGAGGAAGAAGAGGTCTCTGATCAGCTGGAGATTGAGGGCGGCGATGAGGATACCGAGGGCGAGGACGTTGTCGAGACCATTATCACACGTACTAAGCGGGTAGGTGGGACGTTGCGCTCTCGACACATGCGGCTGACGTGTACGTGCCTTACAGAAAGTAGCCAGTCGGGCCAAACGACTCGAGACAATTCAAGTCGAAGAAGTGAAAGAATATTCGGATACTGCTACCCAGCACGACGTGTTCGAGTTCACGAACTCGTGTGACGTGCAGACGGACCCAGAGCCCAAGATTCTCACTGCTTCACTCAATATCCAAACTGAAGATCTCCCACTCTTCTCTATATCCATCCAAACGGACCCAGAACCTCAACCAGAGCCGGACAACAGGCCAACATCAGACGTCGAAGTGCAAACGGATGACCCACAACCGGTGGCATCTACCTCATCGACCCCTCCTCTTCTAGAAGAAGAAGAGGATGCGCTGGCGTCTTCCTCGTCCACCCTTCTCCCACCCACGCCGAGAGCACAGTCCGAAGACCTTCACGATCATGTTCACGACCTTCCTCCTGATTACAATCAGGTTACTGAACACGATCGGGACGAACTTGCTATTCGAGTGGCGAACGAGACGCTCAAGAAGTGGCACAAAGGGCTCAAGTTACCCATTGAGCCAGTCCAGGGTGGTATCTCCGAAGACGCTATCGAAGACTGGAAGGCCCTGAAGGAAGAACTCGGTATTGAGTGCTCAGCTATTGACCGGATCGTCGAAGAGTCGTCGAAGACTGGCATGCCCCGCCCATCTAGAGATGGAGAACACTCTCGCCGCCGCCGCAGTAGGTTCTACAACATTTACAATACGTATGTGTACGATGGTGCCGCGCCGATGTCGACGAGCCAGTTCCTCTTCTGCATCGGCGCCTCTGCTGCTGTTGCCTTCCTTGTCGGACAGGCCATGGCGCCTCCATATGTCCCTGGTGGTGCGACTTATTATGATCGCGCCGCGTGGTCAAGCTTTAACTCCATCCAAGCGACGGGCGAAGGTTTCCCCGGTGATGCTCAAGCCGCTGTCTGGGGCTTCCTCGGTCGGCTTGGTGGTGGTGCTGCGAGGACTCTACGCGGCTGGCCGACGTAGACTCCGTTTTGAGTGAGTGTGCATAGATTGCTATATCTATCTTTGGTATAATCGTTCCGTTCCTTCCTTGTCGCATGATTCACGTTCATTATCTTCCATTTGCTCTATGTTATGCATTTCGGATTCAGGATGCTTCTAACGTGTACTTGATGCCCCCGATGATACCACGATACCAGTCTGCGCTCATAACGGATAGTTGTACGTTACAGGGATGTATAACAGGCACGGCTATGCGCTCCTGTCGCTCAGCAGTGCGCAGGCTAATTCTACTGCGAATGGATGCTCGTATGAAAGTGATGAATGGCAGCGCATGAGATGAAAGGATGGTGGCAGTAACAAGATAAACGAAACAAATAATATACGGTAACTAGCCTTAGAAAGGGGGGATGTCTAGTAATGGCTGTCAACGTACAAAAACATGCCTGTCCGCGTCTATGAGCCATAATAAATGTTCTCTACGCATATACATACCAGAACCCTATATACAAATCATAGGCCGCTCTCTATGTGGCGTCTCAGACTTTCGAGTCGGCGAGCGGGAAGCAGAAGGGCGGCGCGGTCGAACCTCGAGACGAACTTGATCCTCGTCATCGCTCTCATTATCTTCCTCTCGGTACCTTTGGCTAGTGCTTGGCTGGTATTCCACCTCGTTATAAGAAAGTATCGAAGAACGAGAATCATGGTCAACACTGGACGAAGAGTCATAGTCTTTCGGCTCGCCACGAACTACATCGTGGATATTGGACGATTCAGAATTGTAGGAAATCTGCGCAAGCGGACTGGTCGTTCGCGATCGTGAACGAGAGTGGCCGTGCCTCGCCAAAGCGGCTGCATTCTGAACTGCTGGATCTGGGGTCGAGGCAAGCTCACCGACCTCAGAACGTTGTAGGATCGCGTGGGCAGCTGATATCGCAGGTCCAGAGGTAACAGGGCTGAGCGAGCTCATGGATGAGACCGTGCTCAACATGCCGCTGCTGCGAATCGAAGGGATAGGGCTCTGCGCAACACCACCAGCGCCAAGTAGTAGCGTATCATCGTCAAGCATATCCTCGAAACGTTCGCCAGAGTATATGCTTGCTAGATCTTCGGGTGGGTATGCGTGGCCTGGAACGTCACCCCAGCTCGCTGCACGCATGGCAAACGTCAACGAACCTTCCGCAGTACTCTGGCGTGACGGCAGGGCCACGTTGAACGCATCCTCACTCCGACGTGAGAGGCGACCACTCCTTGACCTTCGAACTGAGACTGATGACGTTGGGTCTTGTGCAAGCACTGGCACTGGCCTGCGCCAACGCATCCACGTTGACAGTGATAACCGACTTCGAGGGCGGTCGTCCGGTGATTGAGCCCCGGACCCCTCCCCGCTGGGAGTCGACGCCTGGCTGTACGACACGGGAGATGGCTGCGGAGACCCGACACGGGACGGCCCTGAAGGTACTTCCAGGGTCATTCCGGCAGTTCTAGAAGACAAAGACCCGCGCCGCTGCTTTGGCACCGATCCCTGAGCAGAAGTCGACGCACTCGCCGAGGCCCACGCAGCCCAGGGTTCAAACCCCTTTAATGAACGCGCGCTCACATCTGTGGTCGACTTGTTCCGCGAGACGTCGATGCGCTGCTGCAGGCGTTGCTTCCCCTTATCTCTCGGCTCGCGGCCCCGGTCCCTGTCCCGCGAATGCGGCCTCTGGGGGACACCTGTTGTAGTCCGGTGCCTGCTCAAGCTAATGTGGGGTGCTGACTGCACACCGACGTGCTTATCGTCATTGTCCCTTGAGGCATTGGAGAAAAAAGAGCGTTGGGGACGGACATTGCGAAGTATATGCGAGATGCGATGCGTGAGACGCGCCGACCAGCGAAAGCGGACGGCAGACATAGCAGAGCTTGTCTCATCAGCCGTGGGTTCAAGGGACTCGTGTCGGTCAAGCTGAGTTTCGCGAAGCCACTGCTGTGAATTCGCCATGTCTCTGAGAATCCAGGGGTGCCTCTGTGCACGCCAAATGTGCTTAGTAATTGTCCCGTTCATGGCTCGGCCAAACTAACCTTAACTTCGTCCAGAGTTATTCGTCTCTTGGCATCCTTCTCGAGCAGTCGTTCCAGAAGTTTGACAACGAGGTACCCCTCCGTCTCTTGCCCTTTCGGCAGAGGCTTCTGGTGCCTCCCACCGGTCGGCAGCTTATCTGAGCCCATCGTTGGATCTACGTCCCAGTCCTGCCTCCGAATTACTTGATATACTTCATACTCAGTGTTAGCTTGGAAAGGCAGGTGTCCAAACAGTAGCCCATAGAGAGTGACCCCAAATGCCCAGACATCAATGGCCTTGGTGATCGGAGGTTTCCTTCGGCTAATGGGTGATTGTATCGTGGTGCTCGAAGAAGATGCGGCCGACGAGAGCATGTCCCCCGATGTGTCGCTGACGATCTCTGGTGCGAGGAACATTGGTGTTCCTGCTGTCCTAGAGAGGTCGGAGTCGTCCATGAGTATGGGATCCGTGTCATTGGCGGAAAGTGTTCCTGCACCCGCAGCAGCGAGTCGCTGCGCGTAAGAAAAATGGGAGACACCAAAATCCGTGATCTTGACGGTACGCCTATCGGCAGTCCAAAGGAGATTAGCAGGCTTGATGTCGCGATGTATGATGCCTTGATGATGCACTGTGTAATCGACGAAAGGGTGAGATGAAAGTGATTGGAGAGGAATATGACAACTCAAGCGTCTGACCAAACTCACAATATTCAAGACCCAAGATAACATCACGACATATACGCCTGGTCTGGTCAACACGAAGGACGGGCTCATCCCCCATGGTACGCCATTTAATCTCTCCACCACCGAGATACTCCATAACTACGCATATAGTCAGTCAAATGTCGAAAATGATGATGATAATAGGGAGCGACGTGAACGTCAGCAAGGCCTGAACGGCGATTGGGGTAAGAGATGGTCGACGACAATGAGTATGACGCTCTACTATCGAAGGCATATGTGTCGCTCACATTCATTCAGATGCCAAAGGCCAAGAATGCAGGAGAGAATATGACAAGACATACCCATCCAAATTTTCTCGCCCAACGGCTCGTCAATGACCTCCAACAGTCGTACAACATGAGGGTGACGACACTTCTTCATTATCGCAATCTCTTTGCGTATCTTGTGCTCCGTGCTGCCAAGTTGGTCGGTAAGAGGAAGATGGGGCGTACTTGGGATGTTTCGTTTCCTGAGCTTGTTGAGTCTGTCTTGCTTATTTTTGCGACGCACGCCTTTCACAGCCTATGGCACAGAAGTAGCATCATTTTCAAGCAACGTGGGACTAGAGAATATAATTCAATGCGCAGAGGACGTGTCCGACTTACGACAAGCACGCTACCCTTAGATGTATCCCGGGCGAGATAGACCTCTCCATGCTGCCCCCTACCGACGCGATGGTCAAATTCATACTGGTTGATCATCTTACGGTTGAATTGGTGGTTGAAAGAAGACCTGATCTCATGGGTCATAACCACCTCATCGGTGGGGTTGCTGTGAGGAGATGGCGCAAGGGTCTGCGCGCCGGTTTGCCACACATGAGGAGGGCCAGATCCTGAGGGGCCATCGTCTGCCATGGCGAAGGAAGAGTGAAGGATAGAAGGAAGGGAGGAAGGAAAGAGGGGAAGACAGGAGCGTTATAGGGTACGACTGAATGTTCTGAGGCACTCCACAGTGGGAGGCTTAGTGCTGAGCGTCTATTGATGCTGCTCTGAGTAACGGCATTCGCGTAAGCGCCCTGAGATTTGAGCGTAATAAGGATCTCGCATCGAACAATAACTTGATATTCGCGCAAGGTACGCTGCAAAGTATACACGGCTATACTCCATCGCTGTCCACAACAACTTGCTCGCCCATACCCCTGGGAAGACCAACATAAGTCTCTCTTCAGTTTGTCTGCTCCTCGCAAATCAACTTGAGCCACGACTTGATCGCGCGACTCTTACAGGCGAGGGCATGCACATTTGTCCTCCTCTTTGACGTCCTTCATCACCTGTGCAGAAAGCAAGATCAGAAATCAATGCTGATAACCACCCCAATACCGGCTCGTACGTCAGCGCGGAAATCATAATGAAGGCGCGAAATTAACTCGATGTATTCCTTCCCATTGTCCTGGTGCGTACCTGTGCGCCGGGGACAGCTCTAAATCAGAGTACACGGCATCTTCCCAGACAGAACATCGCATGCTAGACCCTCGGTCGGCGCCGCAGCGGGTCTAGGCCTCGCCCTTCGTCCAACGAACGAGCCGAGGTGATACATTCGAATATACGACGACAGCCACTTACCGAGTCGACATGCATTCCGCACCCCTGTAGTCAAAGCAAACGTAAGGTCAGTCTCGCTGCCACATGGACCATTCCCAGAAGAAGCCTAAGAAGTGAAACGCTGCGGCGTCCGGCTCAGCGCGGTCTCCCTCGGCGGATCAGGAAAGCCTGCGAGTCCGGGCCAAATTGCCGTAATGGACGCGAGTACACACCTTCCAACTCGTCTTGCCACATTTGTCGCACTTCACCTTGAAGCAAGCGTTAGCAGGCGTGATGTATTCGAACGCAGCCATGATCTATATGGCAGACGAGAGACGTCCATGTGTGAAACACGCAATACGTGATGTAGAAATCAGCCTTTGCTGCCAGTAGAAAGATGCAGAGTAATCACCGGCGGATGATTGAGTAGATGATCTTTGAGTCAAATCACGAGCAAGTGGGTTTACCAAACTCACGCCTAACGGTACTCACTGGGCTTGATGAAGGTCTCATTACATGTTCTGCTGGAGTGCAGTAGACACAATGACCTACCGGTACCAATGAGTTTCGAGGAAATATAGGGAAATATCTGCGTATCGGGTCTGAGATCCAAGCCACTGGTGAGACCGCTCTCGCTTATATATGCACTCGGCAGGTGCCGTGGCCACCATCCAAACTATCGTAGCCCGATCAAGCGCTTTACCCTTCCTGGAAATGCGAGTCTGTCGCGGCCTACCCGCTTGGACGACAGTTCGAGCACACTGATAAGCCGAATTGGTTTCGAGGGCCTCCTTTTGAAATCCCAACATGTCAGAAAAAAAAACTTAGATGTTCGTTTCAATCATCTAGAACAGCGAGTATCTCGTATAGCGATTCAAGACATTTATCTTGCGTCGAGGATGACGTCACGAAGGCGACGCAAGGCTTCATCAACCTGTTCTGCAGGGAGAATGCTGAACGACGTGCGTACATACGCGCTTTTACGTCCACTGGGGAGAAAGACGGTTCCTGGAATCGCAAGCACACCTCGCTCCAGCGCTTTAGTGCGAATGAGGCTCTCTGAGTCACCATCGCCATCCAAGAGCAATTTAAACCTGCGTCGACAGTGGAGAACAGGTCAGATAGACTGTTAAATAACGAATCAGATCCAACGCGCACCAGAAAAACATGCCTGCCTCAGGCTTTGTCCATTCAGCTAGCCCTGCAAGGTGTCGTTGCATAGCAGCCTCGAAGATATCTCTCTTCTCGCGATAAAATTGTGCGATACGACTTGTATGCAGTGCAAATCCCTCGTAGCCCCATGACTTTAATACCTTCAGCGTGACCGCTTGAGATAAAGATGAAGGCTGTAAATTCACAGCCATTGTCTGTGAGAACGCATGAGTATGATTGTGAACGAAGTAAAATATAAAAACTACATACGTGCTGATCCATCGCATGTACTACGACGTTGGGTCCAGAAACGAAGCCGATGCGAATACCTGATGATATGATCTTTGACAAGCTGTCGAATCGCACAACACGGCCTACTTCGGGCTGTGAGCGATCAAGAGTGAAATACGAGGGCGGTCGATCCGAACGTCCAAAGTAAAGGTTGTAATAGGGGTCGTCTATAGGTCGTATAAGCGTTGTTTTATGGAAAAGAGAGATTTGATCAGGGTCACCTTCAAGAATGATGAAGTCATGTTCTCTGCTCAACTCGAGGACTTCTAGACGCCGTTCAAGTGTTGCAGTCATACCCGTCGGGTTACAACCGTACTAGTTTGCTTTTGAGCATATTGGAATGTTGAATAACCGAACCAGAATAGCTTACAGGAACTGTATATAGAGCTCTTGGTTTTGGTCTCGTTGATGGCCAGTTCTCTAGTACGGTGCGAAGCGAGCCGGAGCATATGCCATAGGCATCCGTTTCTGCCTCTGATTGTGAAGCGATTAAGGTTTTGACTTTGAAATGTGGAGTGCACAAATGACAAACCTATCATGTCACACCCCAACGAGTGGAAAACTGGAAGCACACCTCTGAAATACGAGAACATGAGTTGTAATGCGCAATGTCAACGGATACTGTGTGTTATTACGACGTACGCATACACAGGTGCTTCGACGAAGAGTGCATCGCCTGGGTTGAGGAGCGCACTCGCAGCCTAAAGCAGCTCTCTCAAGTTACACGGTGCGCAAAATTACGTCCAGAACGTACTTTGAAAATCAGATCCTGCGATCCTGCACCAATGCTCACAGTCCACCCCTCGCCCTTTTGGCGATCATGTTGGAATGCTTGCAGTCCAAACACCCATTCTCGGAGCTCCTCGAACCCGTTCGTAGGCGTGTACTGAAGACCCTGGTGCAATTCTCCCTCAGTCAGTTCAAGTTTGATGTCCTCGGCCGAAGATGGATCGCGCATTGTGAACTGAAGCGAGGTAATAGGGAAAGTCTCTTCATTAGGCTTCCCAGCAAGGAGAGAGATGAGACCAGATCGAGCTTCAAGCGGGAACAGGGCGCGAACTACAGGACGACTCGTTCACTCTATAGACATTGAGATGAGTTGCATTGGGTCTTACTTCCATCAGCTTTCCTCGTCTTTGCAGCATCTGAAAGTCGTGCTCTATAGAACTCGTCTGAAAGTACATTCAATGGCTGAGAGCAAGGCTGAGGCAAATCGCCAGAAATCGCAGAATCACCGGCGGGTGTTGAGGAGTCGCCCATGACTTCGAGACGTAATAAGGAGAGCTGCCTCGAGGCATGGTAAGAGGCTTATATAGCTTGTGTTCTGGTGGTCGAGTCATGGGCGCCGTGTGAGTACGTATCACATCCGGGATAAGATAAGTCGAGTCTTCCATGATCAAAAATATGAGCGACTTAACATCCTGTATTATGAATAACAGCTCGATGACTCGGTATTTTGATGGTAACATTTTGTTGCAGAATGCAGAAGGAGCCTGAGTGTCTTGTTTTGGATTGGAATCTTGAATGAGGAAAGCTATTAGTATGATGGCGACGGCGATCGATGTGGCAAGAGCCTACGATATTGGCGCCGAAGCGTTGGCCTAGTACTCGGAATTCACCAATCTTCCTTTTGAGCTCCAAATTCCATGTTTTCACTAACCATCTCCGCGTTGACACGGCAGCTGCAGGCTCGGTGAGTGCTGATGCGCCAGTGCGGTTATTGATATCACGCATTGATTGCGCACAGTCAATTGGACGCTAGTACTACTACAAAACCGGCGCATACAATGATACCTTTAGATACGACAAGACTGCGCACATGTACAATATTTGTGAGACGCTGTACCTTTCCTATCTGATCTTCTCTTTTTGGAATTACTCATTTACATGTTGCACAGTTATACATTTGAGTACTCACCCAAAACCAATCAGAGCCTACCGATATGCCATGTTCGATGCTCGAGCTCAGAAGATTGAGTGAGAATACGATCTCTTTGGGCGCATGTCCGGAACATGCACGACGGCCCGACACCGTGTTCTGCCCTGTTCCGCCCACGGTATATCCAGTTAGGAATATGTTCCCGTCTCATCGGGTACATCACGAATGATGGGACATAGGAGAGTTCAAATCCGTTGGTGCATATAAACCTCGGCGACTGTCTTCAAGGACAGCGACCGCTGATCACTTATGCCCGTCGAAGACAAAGTGCAGACACTCCGCTCTCTGGTTTCTCTCTTATCGAATGCTGTGGAAGTCATTTCTCGGGAATGGGAAATCAAAGATCAAAATCCAGAGCACAGGCCATTTCTTCCCTCTGCAGATTTACATCATGCCCGACAGACGATTGTCGGTGCCTGCGGCATGTTGATGAGCCTCGTTCAGGAACCCCATCATCGCCTCATGGAGACCGCTCTTCAGTATTATTCTTCAAGAGCTCTACATGTTGCGGTTGAGGCACGTTTGGCAGATATTCTAGCAGAAGCAGACCCAGAATTGGGGATGGACTCCAAGACGATTAGTGTGCGAACAGGTATTCCACAGCATAACCTGGGTATGTGTCCGCACAATGTTCGCTGCCATATTCTGAGGGATACCTCTCCAGCGCAAGTCCTTCGTCCTCTCTGTTCAATGTACATCTTCAAGGAAATTAAGCCGGGCTATTTCGCGAACAATGAAACAAGCGGACAGATGGTCAACGACGAGCCTTTCCGATCCTGGCTTCTTGTACAGTTCGTGGCAGTTTATTGTTTGCTGTAACATAATTACCACATGCATGCATAGCGGACTAACCATTTACACTGCTTCAACAAAGCTACCTGCCGTTTTGTTTGACACCGGAAAAATCCAAGGACGCAGTTCGACTCGGACTGCATTTCAAGAGGCTCTTGGAACAGATTTGTCATTCTGGGAATATCTTGAACAAGATACGCAACCATCAGACGGAACAAAGAAAGCACGGCGAGAGGTGGACACATTCACCCTTGCCATGGTAGGCGGGGGACGTGTTCATTCGACACCACTCTACGCCGGTCCATACTGTTCCCCTTTAGTTTGACTGCGTCATTTTGACATACCGCGCTGTCTAGATTATCCCTGGGAAAGTCTTGGAGACGGCACTTTAGTCGACGTTGGAGCAGGTGTTGGTGAATGTCATATGCTTGCTCTCGTATCAATGACGGGCCTGACGATTTTAACCAGGCGGGATGAGCCTTGATCTAGCGAAACAGTTCCCTCGTCTACGTTTCGTTCTGCAGGACCGCCCTTCTGTCATATCCGGAGCAGAAGCAGTATGGAAGCGCGAGCTTCCTCACATGATTTCCACGAACCGGGTGCAGTTCATGGCCCACGACTTCTTCGCAGACCAACCTGTCAAAGGCGCCTCTGTATACTTGATGCGCTACATCATGTAAGTCACAGTCCTCTATGCTTACGTCTGCGCACTCTCAGCGCATTTTTAGGCATGACTGGCCGGATGAGCAATGTATCACTATTCTGTCGAAGCTTCGGGACATCATGGGTCCTCACTCACGCATCCTTGCCGTGGATCAGATCCTACATCCAACTGTGGGCTCCGCCTATCTGAACCCAGCTCCGGCACCGCTGCCACCAAACTATGGGCACGTCCAGTTACTATCGCACATGCGGGACCTGAACATGTTGGCACTCTTTAACGGCATGGAGCGGACTCCAGAAGACTTTGCTTCTCTAGCGGAGCGAGCTGGATTGAAGATGGTGAAGATTTGGGAATGTCGGAGCACGATGGGTATCGCGGAAATGAGGAGGAACGATGCACCGTGAACGTGTGTAGCATTCGCGCTCAGCGTGGAGTTTTTGACGTGAGGTTCAAAAACGCTTGTGAAGACTTACAGTAGCAAGAACTTACTCATGTCCAGTCATATATTCTGGTGTGGCCCCCGAAGATCAAGATATAGTTTGTAGCAGACATGAATATTGCAATTTGTCACGAGGTTCCAACAATCGGAGGGTTTCACCAAGAGACTTGTATTAATTTGCAGCTAGCGGGCTGCGAGATTGGATTGACTCGGGTCAGTCCCGGACGCCCAGTGCTCCGCATTCGATCGAAGCGTCGTCGAAGCCACCCCCGCACTCCAGTTGTCGGCATCAAATCAAGCCATAAATTCCCCGTGTGCACAGAGATGTCCGACTAATTGGTGGTAACAGTTTACATAGTTGGATGCCCGCTCCGGATGTCCATGGCCAGGCCGGGTTTTCAATGATCAACTTACTTTTGTTCAATGATGCCCAGTCTGGGGCCTATTGAATTCACACCACTTTCAGCGGAGAAGCAAGCCACGGATCAAACGACATGAGAATAACCAGCCCGAGGGCGAGCGTATCGCTGTACAGGCGCACACATATCTCATTAACCCACTAATGTCAAGGTGCTTGACAGATATCAATTTAGAAAGCAAACGCACCGTCGCTTCGCTTGCACTTACATTATTCGCATTTAGGTATGTATGTGGCGAGGACTCTAGAACTTTGATGTCAAATCTAGTGCTTCCACTCGATGAGAATGGCATACCGAGGTCATGCGGACAGATTGGGGTGTGACGCTTATCCTCACACTGATATATAAACGGCTCCAAGCATTACTGCATTTCCATTCCCATTCCAACATCCATCTGAGCATGCCGGGTCTCACGAGCTTCCCTGCTTTCCCAGACGACGTGCCAACCCATCCTCTGCTCGTCGTTGACTACGAGCTCATTAAGACAGGCGACCAGGATGAGATTGACAAGCTCTGGGATGCTGCTACACATCTCGGCTTCTGGTAGTATGTATCTCAATGCTCGATGCATAGCAAATGCTATTGGCTGACGAGCGCGGATAGTCTGAAAAATCACGGAGCAGACTTGGAGGTAGCTGAGATGTTCGAGATGGGCGCGGAGACAATGGCGCTGCCTTTGGAGGAAAAGATGAAGTACGAGCAGGGTGACAGTGGCATGTCCTGCGGGTGAGAAATCATGAACCACCCCTCGTATTATTGCGTGTTCACCTCGCATATGCAAAAGATACAAAGCAGCTGGGGCCAACGCAACTGATGAGACCGGCGCGTTGGATACGCCAGAATTCATCAATATCTCTAAGGACGATGCACTTGCCTGGCCGAAGCAGGCGCACAGGGATTATCCGTCCACGGTCAACGCTCGCATGGAGTCAACTATCATACCATTCGTTCATAAATCGCTCGAAGTCAACAATACATTGCTCGCAGTCTTGAATGCGAAATTGGGACTGCCAGAGGGTGCTCTTGCGAAACGACATACGCAAACAGAGTACAGTGGGAGCGAAGCGCGCTGTATCAAGACTCCTCCGATGCCTCCAGGCACACCTCAAGACAGGGCTGCACTTGGAGCGCACACGGACTTCGGCTCTTTGGTTTGTAGGATTCAGTTGTTATGATGAGATGAATAGCCCGGTTTATTTTTTGGTAGTCGTTCTTGCACAACAGATTGGGTGGTTTGCAAGTGATGGTTCCAGGGACGCAGACGTGGCAATACGTGAAGGTGTGCCAGTCACTAATGAGGCTTTATGAATTCATATTGATGAGTGTACCTTAGCCTATTCCCGGACATGCGATCTGCAACCTCGGCGATGCGATGTCCATTCTCAGTGGTGGCATCTTGAAATCCAACATGCATCGTGTTGTGTAAGTAACTAGTGCTCCATTAGCTCACCGTGAAGCTCATTGATCACAGCTCGCCGCCCAAGGAGCAAGGCAAATATACGCGATGGTCACTTGTCTTCTTCACCAGACCAGGGGACTCGGTCGAGCTTCGAGCACTTGTAGATGAAAGCCCTATCATAGCTCAAGCAGTGGCCGAAGACCCCGAGAAAAACTACAACACCGGGGTGACAATGAAGGATTGGTTTGCGAGGAGGATTAAGAACCAGCGTATCAAGAATCGGACGGTGCGTGAAGATCTGGATTTTTCCCTGCGAGAAGTGAACTGATTTGAACCGGTATCAGGGTCCGGAGACATGGCGGGCTAGCAGGGGTATGGAGCATCAGCCCTCAGCAATTTGAGGTGATTGGATATCCAGAAGTCTTCTGAATAATTTGTATTTGTATAATGGAGTACAATGTTCATTATTGTGTATCACGCTTCCGAAACGACCCATGATCGCAAGGATATAGTGGATATAGCGCTCCACGAGGATTCGGAAGTGGGACCTAACGAAGTATCGTATAGTCTAATTTCGATCAACAAGGATGAGCCTAGCTTACTGTTCAAGAGGTAATCTCCTTCTTGGGCCTTGATCCAAAGATGCTGGTCCCGACGCGAACGACATCGCTGCCGGCCTTAAGGGCTGCTTCAAAGTCGCTCGACATCCCCATACTCAAGAGCAACTTCCCGTCTGTTCCCCACTTACCACCATCAGGTGGTAAACCCGCCTGCACAAGTGCCTGTTGTAGCAAATCGCGCGTCAAGCACAAGCGCTCGAAATCTTCGTTCGGCTTCTCCGTTGAGGCAAGAGATTCGGTGAGTGATCCTATAGTCATGAGACCCTGCAAATACAGCTGAGGACACTCAGAGACGATATGGCGTGCAAGCTGTGTTAGCTCGGACTCGACGTTGGATTCGGACTCTACGGACAACGGAGGCAAGCCGGACTTGTTGTCCTCGCCAGAGGTATTGACTTGCAATAGTATATTGAGAGGCGAAGATCGCTCTGCTGGAATTGCCTTGTTCAGCGCGGCAGCAACCTTGACTGACGTTACAGTCTGAATGGTGTACAAGTTCGGAATTGCTGCAACATACCGACAAGTAAGCGGTGAGACAACAGTTTACAGATTTTGTGAACTGACAATTACATACAAGCAAGTACCTTTGCCTTGTTTGATTGTAGCGTGCCTATGAAATGCCACCGGATACTGGGAGGCAACTATTGAAAAGAGCTCGATCAGATTTGCACACATTCATAGTGGGATGAGACGAACTTGTTGTGCTTTGTCCACTAGCTCCTGGACATAGTTTTCACCGAAATCTAGCTGGCCGGCCTCAAAACACGCTAGGACGTCTGATGCGGGCTTGTACTTGGATACCGCGACGAGAATCGCCTCTTTGTTCTTTCCGCTGATGGCTTGCTGTACCCTCGTTCGGACTTCAGTTAACGATTCCTTCAATTCTAAGGCTCGCTCTGTGGATGCTCGCGATATTGTTGTTGTCGACATATTGGATAGGGACCGGATGTGCAGAGAAAATCGCATGAATCGCCACAAAGTTGGCACAAACTCCAATTGCGCTCTTGGGACGCATCGCACGTGACAATACTCCGCCGGCACGATCTGGCACGATTCATCCAGCCTATTCCAGTTGTCATCTTTACGCCCTATATGACAACCGTTCTCCTTACACTCAAGAGACCGTCATTTAAGGTATGCTTACGCGAGACTAGGCCTGCCCCAGCAGATACCAGTGAGTATGCAGTGTCATTAGCTGCTGCGACTTGGCATTCAAGTTTTTTTGTTTACTATCAAAAGAACTCATGAGCTTGAAGTCCTTTCATCCATACTGCTCGTCGATACGCGCGATCAATGGACGGAGAAGTCTATCATCAACACCATGTCGAAGGGGACATTACGAGACACTCTCTGTTCCTTCCAATGCTACCAGGAATCAAATCAAGGTGTGTTTGATTGCGTAGTGTTCCCAGCTTTCGTCTGACTGAGAAGTATCTAGTCAAGCTACTACAAGGTGTATCTTTTTGCTGGTACCTGCATGACGAGCTTGTTGAATACCGTAGATGATGGATAGCTAAGCAAGATGTATCACCCGGATGTCACGAAGGATCCAAAGTCTAAGGAGATGTTTCAAGCGGTCAGTGAGGCATATGCCGTCCTTGGCGACGATAGAAGAAGGTACCGTCTTTGTTTAGGTTGGCACTGAATGATCCACTCACTATCACAAGGAGAACATATGATCGCTCACTAGCTGAGGCGTCTGGCGCAAACCATCGAGGCGCCACCGCCCACCATTCGTATTACTCTGCGCAATGGTCGTACGAGTCCCGTCGGAGGGGTGCCACTTATGCGTGGGAGTATGCACGCCGACCCGGCACCTCACATCAGAGACCTCCACCAGGCTACTCGCAGCATGCTTCAGGATCTTCGACCCAGCATCCTCACAGGCATCATTACGATCCGTTCGCGTCCCCTAACGTCCAGCGAGCGACTGGTCGACGGAAAGCATCGCAGTCGCAAGATGAATTTACGGATGCGGATCGTGTAAGTAGCGAGTCCGGCTTCTGGAGAGTAGTACAAGTCTTTGGAATTGTGATGGTTATTGCGACCGTCGGCGGTGGATTCAGTGCGAATGCCACGTAACGTATACCTCATAGCAGTTTCCGTAGAGATCATCGACTAAGTTAAGTATGGTTTCGGGGAGAACTATGTACGGACTCGGAGTCTCGGACCACAGTCACTACTGCCAGGCCTAAAGGTTCCCCGCGTCCCCACTCGAGTGGATTGACAAATACACGCTCTCGGAGTGGTTGAACAGCCCGTATGCGATTAGATTAGATGCAATTTAAAAGGTACAGCATGACGCCCACTCATCTCGCAGCCGCCAACCGCCCAATATTAGACTGCGCGTTTTCAATGAGCATGCGTTCCAGGCTCTACTGTGAACATCCATTGTCACGACTGCGCTCTCGCCATGGACGCTGACCCGGGGGCATCGACAACTTCCCTGTCTTGGGCAAATGTTGGGCTCGCGTTCTCTTTCATCCTCTTTAACGCTGTGGTCTCTCTTTTCTACGGACTAGGCATTGGGAGTTCGCTTGTGACTGCGGCCGTGCGATGTATCCTGCAGCTCAGTGTCGTGGCATTGCTTTTACAGAAAGTGTTCGAAACGAATAATCCATATGCGGTGGGAGGGATTGCCTGTGAGTCTGAATGCATACACTATGGAAATTTTCCTATTTAGCGTGTTACCGAAGTTTTGTTGAATCTGATGGGCACCATTGAAACGGGTACGTTTCATACAATTTACGCCTCTTGAATGTTGTATGCGAGCTCCTTTCCCAACCTACAGTCGTGAACAAGTCGAAGAAGCGATACAATCACATGGTGACCCCCGCCTCAACCCTTGCTAAGAGCAGGATATTAACTTCCTGCAGTTCCCATCGGTGTTACTAGGAATGATTGGATCCACTGTTCCGGTGTCTATCATAGGTATCCGTTTTGCGATGGCCGTAGACCCTTTCTGGAAGCCAGAACAATACAGTGAGTTTCGCGACGCTACACTGGATCTTACCGTCGAAATTTCATCTCGCAACAGTACCCATCGTAGGCATGCTTTGTGGGAGCACCATCTCCGGAATTGTGGTCTCCGTGTCATACGTCTTAAAAGAATTGTAGTACGTCTATCCGTCTCCATGACGTTGGCGTCATATCTGAGCTCGTCTGTTCATCCAGTGAAAACCGTGACAAAGTCGAAATGTACCTTGCCTTTGGCGCGTCGCGATTCGAAGCATGCAAGCCGATCGCGACGGAGGCTCTTCGACTCGCTCTCACTCCTAACATCAACCAGATGAGGTACGGTTTACAGAGTTCATACTGTCTCGCAGACCGACGTGCACCCTCAGCGTTCTTGGAATCATTGCTATACCTGGGATGATGACAGGTGCCATACTCGGAGGTTCGTCCGTCGAGCAAGCCGCGCGACTCCAAATGGTCATCATGTTCATGATTTCCTCTGCCACCGCCCTCGCGTCCATCGTGACCACCATCCTCGCGCTCAGTGTGGTGGTCGACAGCGAACATCGTGTACGCAGTGATCGCATTGACTCTCGCGAACATGCAGTGTGGCGCGCGAGGACCTGGCTCGTGAGTGCGATCGTGGGCAGCATCAAGGATGCGACTAGTAAGGCATGGAAGAAGACGCGGCCGAAGTTCTCTAGAGCGCATAGCAGCCAACAGTCCGTGGAGCCAGACAACGCGTTGGATGATAGAGCCGAGAGAGAGAGATTGCTGCCGAGCTAAGGATATAGCTCTGGCTAAACTGGCACTAATTGCCGTTGAGCATAGGGTCTCGATGTGATACCAACTTTCTGCGCCCAAAATCTATATGCTTGAGTACGCACCTTCACACCTTAGTCGGGATTTGAAGCCTGGGCTGCGCGAACGGAAGCATGTCTCCTCGTGGTGCAGTCAAACATCTGAAGAGTATTTGCCTCATCCTATCCATACATGAGTCGGGCAGGCTACGTAAAAGCACGCAAACAGTAAAATGTTGATGTCACTAGTCTTCTTCAATTCAGAGCTGTGTCATCTCTCCTCATCTCCGCCACGCCTAAAACGGTTCGACACTCCCAGATCTTCACGACCTTCAACCCAGATTTCTCCGCTAGAGAAGCAAATTCTTCGGGTGAGTGTTCTTTACTGTCAAACAAGGTAAGCATGGCGAGGTCAAACATGTGTGAGAAGAGTTGTGCGTGTCCATAGTTCGCCGGGAGAGGTGCAGGAGCCCGCTTGAGATGAGCTGAGCCTACAGTATTGTGCATGATGTGGTCCACGTTCAGGATACGGGAGTGTGGTTCCATAGCTTCCCTGAGTTTCGACAGGATTGTGATGCACTGTTCTTCAGGCCAGTCGTGTCTAGAGCATTGATCGGCTATGTATACACGCTCAGAATGATCAGGATGCCTTACAAGATGTAGCGCATCAAGTATGCGTCGGCACCTTTGACAGGCTGCTCCTTAAAGAAATCATGGACCATAAACTGCACACGCTTCGTTGCAACGGCATCGGGGAGTTCTTGTCGCCACACTGCCTGCGCCTCGGTGATGACAGCAGCGCGGTCCTGCAAGATGAAGTGTAGACGAGGGAATCGCTTTGCGAGATCAAGGCTCATTCCGCCTAGTCGAAGTGCGCATTAGCATAGCAAATGCTGTAGCACACTGGAATACTACTCACCCACTCCTCCACCAACATCGACAATCGTCCCATCTTGAAGGGCTTCCCACGGATAGTCTGGGAACAATGAACGGTCAAAGTCGATACGTTGGCGGAGGTGGAAGCGACATACCGGCGTATACAGGCGTCGACTGGGCGCGGCCTGCGCCTATCATTGCATGAGCAAAGATCTCCAGCTCTGGCCGTTGATTCAGATTGTCATCTAGCTTCGCCGTGTTCTGTTCAAAGTATTCCCAGAAAGGAGCCCCATGCATCACTTCGTACGCAGTCTTTCTGGGCTTCTCAGCACCAGCGGAATTAAGCAGCATAGTTGGCAGCTCCACAGAACTGGAAAATATGGAGAGTCCTCTAATCGTGTACTGTGAGTCATATGTGACAAGCAGAGAAGACAATACATACTGGGCTACGAGCATATTTCTTAGCGGTTCATTATTCACCATCTGTCGGCTCAACTCGGTATTGCCATAAAAACCTGGTTTGATCTCGGTAAAGATGTTGAGTGAACAGAGGGCGTGCAAGACTTGCGCTGACGAGGTGGCTCAGCGGCAGAGGTAACAAATTGGGACATGTAAAACGCACTAAGTCTGTTCGGCTCAATGCCAGTCTTAGTACCAATCGTCTTGATATTTACGCCTGAGCCAGTATCCGCTTCCGCGATGATATCTGCAACACCAGTCCTGGCAGTGATATGGAGGCACCTAGCGGTGAAATGCTGAAGAGATAACTCCATGAGGCGATGCTGCGGCTCTTGAACGAGGTCCGAGTACATTCCGCAAGCGCCAACGACTGCCCGCCGAACATGGTACAATGTCTCGGAAGGGAGAAGGGGGTCGTGGTTCGGGTCTTCGGCTTCAATCTCCCATTCCTTAACGATGACTTCGGCAGCGCTATAGAGGAGGGTCGCGAGGAGACGGAGGGTCTTGGCTTTGTCTTCGATAGAGCTAGAAACCATCGGTGCTGTAGCGGGGCTAGATGGTGTTCGTGCAGTATGCCGGACAGTGAGCAACGATTATATTGTGGCATACCACTTGTCCCCTGAGTAGTCTGAAAGCAGCGGGGAGCTTGGAGCTAGTCAATATCGAGATGCGCCCGAATGCTCCCGTCGACTCCTATTGCCCGAGGATTGTCGAGGTGAAGATGAGCCATCCGTAGCCATTGTACCGAAAAAGCCTGACTCGTGCCCATGATCCCATAACCCACTGTAATTTATCATCGGTGGCTTTCAAGGCATGCAGATGGCCAAAATTTGAAGACCTCATCCAAAGCGGAGAACCCTGCGAGGGGGATACGGCAAGTTCAAACGTCGCGTTTCCGAGTCATGGACCCGACGACGTCGAAGGAGTCGGGATCGGGATGAGGCGGGAAGAGTTGCCGTGCTTGCTGCTTGCTATTCCGCGTACCCAGTGACATGATTACCGGCGAATTACATGTTCGATCAGGTGCACAGAAAAGACTTGCTGTGACTTGTAGTCAGCAGCTATATATTGTAGTTTGTCAATTCAAAAGTGAGGACTTGATGAGAGATTCGTTAGCATTGCACTACACAGCGTTCATAGAAGAATGACTTCTAGATCCGGGTAAAAAGCCGGGTGAATGGTAAATTTCAATATACCGCCACGTTCATTGGCACCAGGTCTTGAAAACGAATGCATCAGGTTTTTCAAATATAGTGTTGTCTACCAGAAAGACGAATGTTTGAATTTCCTCACCAACTGGGCTCCTCGGAAGCTGTCCACCTGAGAGTTATCATCAGTTCTACTGGTAGAATGCAAGAAAGAATCACAAAAAAGAACATGACTCGGAAGAGTATCAAGAAGCTCTTCAGCTGTTTGACCACCAGCATACAGGGGAACACCAAACTAATTGTTGATTTTCATTATGAATGACGCATCACACAAGCTTTAGTCATCCCCCTTCAGGTTTTATGCTAAAATATCGGAAGTTACAGTAGTGGAGAGCTATATCCAGCAGAATCCCTTGAAGCTCGGAACCGTGGAGCAAGTCGAATATGGTCCTTGACCTAGACATCGATTCTAAGTATATTTGAAGGAGAACCACATCAAAACTACTTCAGACAATATACTTTTCCTTGAACACCTACTGTCGATAGTGTTTCAGCAGATTAGAAGCTGCGGTACTGTGGGATGCAGGGGACGAGGTGCCTCCTCTAGTAGCGGGTGGCACCAAATGTTTCAAAGTCCGCGCTCATCACCTTATGATCTTCAAGCGGATGTTGAATCAGCTTACCAAATCGAGCGGGGGGGCGCGTAACGCGCCTCCGCGTCGCGCAAGCGGCCGAGGGCCGCCAAGCCACCTGGGGGCAACGACGCCGTGGCGTCTCTTTCTGAAGGCGCAGAGCAGGACAGAGACAGCAAAGGTTATTCGGGGGACACTTGGGATTCGACGCTCACGGGGAAAGTGGAGCACGACGCCGCCTATGATCCTAGGCCTGTGCGAGTGCCCGATGCCCACATTGCACGGACTCGAAGCTGATCATGGAGTTTTGGGAGATGAACGCATATGGGTCCCTATTGTGTGAGCGGCATGTACAGATGACATGCTCAACCATCGCGAGCCGATTCCTTCAATCTGTGCAGCATCGTATCGAGCACGCTGCCTTTACCCGTGCGTCCCGCCCCTCTGTGCGCGCATCGCCGGCTGACGCCCTCACTACTTGCTCCAGACGAAGTCACAGCTAGGCTCTCGTAAAAGAGGAAGAGCAGCAGAAAGACAGTTGGTTTGCTACATCCAGACGGGCCGATGAGCGCAACTCGCAGAGGTCGCGGGGAGACGTAATTTGCGATTGGGAAGCCTTACGCGTTCTTGAATTGAATCGGGACGCCTTGAAGCTGAAGCGCACGTCGAGCGTATCCTGGGAGGAGATGAACGGCAACTCAGCGAGCTAGGCACTCGTCTGCGAGTGTACTGTTGGCGAGCCTCAGGTACCTCAAACGGTAAGCTCATTCATTCGCTTCTGTGTAGGGTAATAAGCCTGGGTAACCAAGCAATCTGTAGATGCTGACACGGGCACATCCTGGGGGCTCACCAAATTGAACATGGTTTCTATGCCAAGCAGACTCTACCGCATTATTTCAGTTGATTGTACTCAGGAAGTTCAATGGGAGAATTGGGAGATATAATTAGTGTTGGGATTTATGATCAATACGGACTTACTTTCTATAACATTACTTACGTTCATTTCTAATGCTTTCTGTATACGGTAATTCCGCTGCGTATACCTACGGAACGCACGCGCGCCACGTCTTCCCTCAGTCCTCGTACGAACAGACTCGGACTGAGGGTAAGCACCGCTACACTACCTATCGTGCATATTCATATACTGATGCACATATCTAGTCATATATATTAGGTACATATACATAGTTCTTGTACGAACAGACTCGGACTGAGGTCATATATATTAGACACTCGTTTTACTCCTTTAGCTAGAATTACAGCCGATTAGACGTGACGAAATTACCAATAATCAGATCTGCACTCCACTTGAGTAAAAATTCAAAAGATTGAGGATGAGGGGCTACCAGGAACATCGTCACAATCAGGGTTGTCGAGCCTAGCTTTACTATTCATATTGTAGTGAAATTGTGGGACACATCGCCCTATTCGTACATCTACCAAAATCAAACCAACCTTCTTCCGTCACTACTCTGATGACGCATCGCTCCTTCTCATCTCTGTCACACCCATGATGGACCTACACTCCCAGATCTTTACTACTTTCAACCCAGCTTTCTGCGCCAGAGCAGAAAACTCTTCCGGGGTTCGCTCCTTGCTGTTGAAGACAGAGAGCATGGCAAGGTCGACCATATGCGAGAAGAGCTGCGCGTGGCCATAGTTTGCCGGAAGAGGAGCAGGGGCTCGCTTCAAATGGGGAGAGCCCAGAGTAGTGCGCATTATTTGGTCCACAATCAGGATGCGCGAATGAGGCCCCATGGCATCGCGAAGTTTCGACAAGATTGTGATACACTGCTCGTCAGGCCAGTCATGCCTAAGATACACATTAGCGCCACTTCAAGCGAGGGAAACCCCAAAATGCCTCACAGGACATAGCGCATTAGATACACATTCGCACCCTTGACTGGTTGCTCAGTCAGGAAGTCATGCGGCATGAACTGTACACGTTGCGTAGAGATGGCTTCGGGGAGTTCATGTTGCCACACAACTTCCGCCTGCGGTATGACGGCTGCGCGGTCTTGTATAATAAATCTCAAACAAGGGAATCGCTTGGCCAGGTCGAGACTCATCCCACCTGGTTGATTTATTATTAGTAGATTATAGGACAGCAGCGCACGCAACAGTAATCACCGACTCCGCCTCCAACATCAACAATTTCACTCTTCCGAAGGCTTTCCCAAGGGTAATCTGAGAGTGAGACCAATCAAAGACGATAACAGCGTATATAATCAGATTGACGCACCTGCATAAATAGGCGTCGAGTGTATTCTTCCAGCACCTATCATAGCATGAGCAAATACCTCTAACTCCCGTCGAGGATTCCGGGCGTCGTCGATTTTCGACGTGTTCCCCTCAAGATAGTCCCAGACAGTCGTTCCAAATGTTTTTTCGAATGCGGTCTGGTTGATTCCAGCTTTTTCAGCTTGAACGGAATTTAACAGCACGGAAGGAAGATTGACAGAGGAGGTGTACATGGAGAGCCCTCTATCTCAGCGTATCTGAACCATTTTAGAGCTGAGAGATGACAAATTCACGTACTGTAGCATAACCGCATTTCTCAAAGGCTCGTTGTTTACTAACTGTTGGCTAATTTCGTTATTGACGAAGTAGTTGGGTTCAATCTCGGCAAAGACGTTTGCTGAGCACAGTGCGTGTAGGACCTGCGCTGAAAAATGTCGAAACCTGGTTAGTGCTAACGCCAGGGGCAATCTAGTGAACGTATACCATACCAAGTTTAATCTGTTCAATACCGGATTTCGTACTGATCATCTTCAGATCGACACCAGAGCCTGCATCCGCTTCGGCAATGATGTCTGCAATGCTAGCTGTAGCAGCAACATGCAGAGCCCTGGAGGCGAAAGGCTGGAGAGATAGCTCCATCAGCCGATGCTGAGGCTCTTGAACGAGGTCCGTATACATTCCGCAAGCGCCAACGACCGCCTGCCGCACATCGTACAATGTCTCGGAGGGAAGAAGCGGGTCGTGCTTCGGGTCTTGGGCATCAGTCTCCCATTCTTTGATGATGGTTTCAGTAGCGTGGGTGAGGAAGGACAAGAGAGAGCGAAGAGTCTCAGCTTTATCTTTAATACGAGCGGAAGTCATTGGTGTTGCGTAGCGAAAATTTTGTGCAGGATAAATGGAAAAATCCGCTAGTTATATGCACATCCGCGTGGATATGCACTGGGCGTATCCAAACATTGGAAAGGGCCTGGAGCAGGGTGGGCTCACCGCGTCAGCCGGGATGCGGCTCCAGCTGTGTCCCCTAACGCACAGGGGCAGCAGAAAGCAGCTACACTGGCTTGTGTATGATGCACCCTATGATGGCATATAAAACTGACAAACCCCTAGATAGTACAGCTTGGACTGGGCTCCATGACGGTCTGGAAAACGATCCCGCGTGAGATTCTTGCCAGGAATGCGAGGATTAAGAAGCGTCTGAGATGGCTCGCAAGCACTTATATCTCCCTCTTCCTCCTCCACGTCGAAAGAAGTGACAGCGCCGGGCAATTTTTCCTGTGGTACAAGTGCATGACCATAACGTTGCAGTCGCATGATCGGGAGCAGCCTGGACGGTGCATTCAGAATTGCCACCATGTCTGGAATGGATCACCAGCTCTGGCAAGAATTCCATTCGGAAATGAGTCAACCCTCTTCATCCCTGGCTGAGTAATTCATGTTGAACAACGCAATGGAAAAACAGTGAAGGACTAGGACATACTACTGTCTGTTGCTAGTATTCTCCAGACCATTACTTAGTAAAATTTGAACATACACTGAGACATTTTTATCTTTTTTTTAACACGTCATGAATTGATGAGCTTCTCAGAAATTGAGTGTTTCCAAACTTGAATATCAACATCGAACGCTCATGTTCGACTCATGGAGGCCCGGGTGGTTAGAAGTTTACATTAGCGCTGGTGAGGCGCCTTGCAGCTGATGGTATTCATGCTCGCGAGCATTTAAATTTATACAACCTCTCATTCATAGTCATACAGGCACAAAGTACATACAAAGAAATACAGGAGCTCGGGAACTCGTAGAGCGGCTAATTTACGGGGGCATCATTCCTTCTCATCTCCGTCACACCCACAATTGTCCTACACTCCCAGACCTTGACTACTCTCAACCCAGCTTGTTGCGCCAGAGAGATAAATTCCTCAGGGGTGCGCTCTTTGCTATTGAAGAGCGATAGCATGGCAATGTCGACTGCATGCGAGAGAAGCTGTGCATGGCCGTAGTTCGCCGGCAAAGGCTCCGGAGCTCGCTGGAGATGAGTCGAGCCGACGGTCGTGCGCATGATCTGGTCTACATCCAGGATGCGCGACTGAGGGCCCATCGCATCTCGGAGCTTTGATAGAATCATGATGCATTGCTCATCTCGCCAATTGTGACTGAAAAGGTGGCTTAGTCTCGCATCCAGATGCAGAGGGGAGAGAGCACCTCACAGAACATAGCGCATCAGATACACGTCAGCGCCCTTGATTGGCTGTTCTGTCAAGAAGTCGTGGGGCATGAATCTCACGCGCTTCGTGGCCACAGCGTCAGGAAGTTCGCGCTGCCATACCGCTTCCGCTTGAGGGATAACAGCAGGGAGGTCTTGGACAACGAAATGCAGGCGAGGGAAGCGCTTCGCAAGATCGAGACTCATCCCACCTGCAAATAATATCGTTGGGATGGAAAGAAAGGTAAGAAGCAGGAGGACCATTACCAGCTCCTCCGCCAACGTCGACAACAGTGCCATCCTGAAGGCATTCCCATGGGTAATCTGGACGAAAGGCAAGCTCAAAATTGCGCCAAAATTTACACGGAGATCCAGCATACCAGCATATACAGGCGTCGCATGGACTCGCCCTGCGCCAACCATGGCTTGGGCAAATATCTCCAACTCGCGTCGGGAATCGACAGTGTCGTCCAGATTCGATGGGCTCCGCTGAAGATATTCCCATATGGTCGTTCCATGCATCTCTTCATATGCAGTCGGCTTGGTTCTGTTCTTATCATTTTCAACAGAATTGAGGAGAACAGTGGGCAGCTGGACCGAACCAGCATAAACAGAGAGGCCGCTGGTGGTGTGCAGGTGGGTCACTACAGGACGAAAACATGGATGAAGACGTACTGCAATAACGCCACGCATCTCATGGGCTCAATCGTCAGCTGTCGGCTAATTTCGTTATTCGCGAAGAAGCCAGGTTTGATTTCGGTGAAAATGTCAGTCGAACAAAGGACGTGGAAAATTTGTGCTGAATATTCGGTTAGCGATGACACGACGGAGCATGAGTCGTTCATGAGAAATACCCAGTTTGCTCTGTTCGATCCCGCTCTTTACGCTGATCTCCTTCAACTCCACCCCCAGGCCTGTGTCCGCTTCTGCAATAAATTTGGCTAGGTTTGCTCTTGCAGCAATATGTAGAGCCCTGGAAATGAAGTACTGGAAAGATACCTCCATCAAGCGATGCTGAGGCTCTTGGACGAGATTGGAGAACATGCCGCAGGCACCAACAACTTCCTGTCGGGCATGGTATAACTCAACTGAAGGAAGAAGCGGATCGTGCTTCGAGTCTTGGGCCTCAATCTTCCACTCCTTGATGACGACTTCTGCGGCGTCAGCGAGAAGGGAAATGAGAGAGCGAAGGGTGTTCGCCTTGTCGTCGATGTCGGTACAAGCCATCGGGTGTTATTCACAAAGTGTACTTAGCGCAGAACGAGAAGCAGAAATGATTGCTTATATGCGACCTGCGTACGAGCGTGCTGACAGAACCCGGGAAGGTCAATGACCCAGAACCATGTAGCCTATCCCGTCAAGCGGGATGTACCCGGATAGATTCTTGTCTCCCCCTATGGTCTAGGGGCGGCGGCATCAAAGGCAAGCCGTGTAAAGTATTTCGTATCTACTCACTTAAGGCTCTAGAACTCATAGAAATCAATATTAAGGCCATGAAACTCGCGGCTGAATGATTTGGAGCAAAACACCCTGTTCATGAGCTTGAGCACCAATTTATCAACTTACAACGAGTTGAACCAGAAAGCTCCACACTCCCCATGTACACCACATGGCACACAAAATGCGAGGGTACTTTTGCGAGCACAACTGATTTGTCGGGGTAGCGGCGACAGGTAGACTGCTGAAGAAGTTGTGTCTCAACGTGTCTGGGGATGAGATCACTCAGGTTGGTTCGAGATCGCTGACTCAATGGCCCCTCTCACCCGAGTCAGTTGGGGGATTTTAATCAGGTGCGCGCAAAATTGGTTCCCTGCTTACATTGCGAGACGATGTGATACGAAGCTTGAAGTGCCGACCCCCACGAGTGACAATTGAAACGTGTAAAGCTGGTGTAAAGTTCAAGTTCGTCGCAGTTTAGCGCCAGACTGTGGACATACTAGGGAAGTTCAAAGTTGACGCAGCTGGGCTCGCAGAAAGTTCTGC